ACGAACACATATAGGAACAATGGAGAAATTTTTTTCCCTGAGAGCGCCAGTTTCTGATTCCTCTTTGGTTGTCTAAAGACCAATGTTTTTTTTTAAAAAGCCTCGGTTAATTGCTCATCTGACTATTGGATTTTCAATGAATAAAGACAATATAAGCAACAATTACATACCTTATAAAGGTGAAAGTTTCTCCCAGCGAGGTTCTTTAGCCCATAACCTCTTGATTCAACAATGAACTCCTTGGTAACGTACAGCAGCTTTTATTTCTTAACCCCCGATTTCAGCTCACATCCAAACAATAGGGGGTAGAGGTGATTTGTTCGATTGGTCGTACTTTCTATCTGTATAGAAAGCTGTAGAAGCAAGCCTTAATTAGTAGACAAATCGAACGTACCCAATCAAGAATTTTCGAACTGACCAGAAAGAACTGTTCATCAAGAAGTCTTCAACAATGGTTTAAGTTTGAGGTTTCTAACGTCTTTTGTACTACACTGAGCACAATTCATTCCTTATTTTCTCCCTTAACCAAATTTTGTAACTTTTAAAAAATGATGGGGTTGGGGTCATCTATTAAAAGAATGAAGGAGAGGGGTGGAAGTGAATCTATATATGATGGGTTAAGAGAAATATATAATATAAATCGGCTAGAGGGGAGTGGGGACATCTTAAAATAAGGGGCACCTGGAGAGGAAGGAGTGGGGAATGGGGACATTATTTTAAAGATCGGCGAATCATGTATATTGCGCCTATGGTGTGTTCGCCATTGCTCTTGTATCGGGAATCTCAACCGCGTCAGTAGAACACCCCCCCCCCCCCCCTTTGTTAAGTCAGTAACAATAAGGCTCGACTTCAATTAAATGCTCGAGCCCTTTTGATATGATATTAAAGGGATATCCCAAACTAAGTAATTGTTGGTAGTTGTAGTAGTTGGTAGTTTGGTTGGTTGGATTGGATGATTCTGAAGTGTTTGGTTGGTTGTTGATAATTCGTGTGATCTGTGGTTCCTGCAATTCGATTAATTCCAGGCGATTTATGATGTCACTATACAAAAAGCTGATATAATGGGCCTAAGGACATTTGGAATATTCTATTTAAAACCAACAGCACTACTTAGTTTGCTATATAAGCAGCCAGCCAACTTGTTCCATTTCTAACTCTATGGACATGTCCAAAAGTTGGTTAGACACTCTCTTATTGGCTCTGGGTAAGATCGCATATTACACCCACCTGTTTTTGAGAACGGTCGGCAAAATATCGCCGCCGTTTTTATGTCCGCAAAGGTCAAGGTTTCTGGACATGCGCAGAAGGTTATTTGGCGCGAATCGATGGCGAGAAATCAATAAAATTGGTAAAGAAGAATGAAATTCCCGACTTTCTGATGAAGTAATTTAGTGTCATGGTAAGTATTGAAGATTTCATCAATTTCTACCCCTATCCTCGCCATTTCAGTGCGTCCAGCCGAATAATTATGCTAAAATTCAAGAATAAAAGCATAGTTTTGTTTTAAAACAAGGGCACGTAACTCTGAAGCAACTTTTCTAACCTGGAGATTTTAAAACATGTTTTTGAATAATGATGATATCCCAAGACAATGTCACGTCTTGAATTGACCTTAAGATGGTAATGTGACATGTAATAAACCTATACCACATTGCCCCATCATCTTGATCCAAATATGGTTCGACCAGGCCTACCTACCTACTACAATTTGCAAGTGATACTTGGTGAGATGTGTCATAGCTCTACTTTCACTTTCTTCACCCTGTTTAGTCATATAGAAGCACATCTTCCTCCAAGACTTAAATTAATTACCATCTTTTCTTGCAGGATATCAGGAATTTCTTTGCTCCTAAGGGAGGATCCAAACCAAAATCAGACACATCCAAAGATTCGGATGAAAAGCCAAAAGTGGTGAAAAAGATGACTCCTCAAAAACCTGACAAGAAAATAACAAGTAGATCAGCATCCAAAAGCAGGAACAAAAGTGGTGACAAAAAATCAGAAAAAGATAGAAAAAAATCTGGGGATGCAAAAAAAGAATCGAAGAAGGTTTCGGAAGAAATTGTTATCATTGATGAAGATTCTAAAGAAGAGGCAGAAACCTCGAAAAAACCCAAACCTAATGCTGTGAAAACAGACAAAAACGCACAATCGAATGGAACTGGATCTAAAGATAACAAGGAATCAAAAGATTCGAAGTCAGCACATAAAGCAGACGACAAACATGCTAAGCCAAAGGACAAACCAAAAGACAAAGACTTGTCTAAAGATTCCAAAAAGAAGAAGAGTTCGTCCAGTAGCAAGGAGGAGGATGTATTAATGGTGAGTGAAGAAGAAGAATCTCCTATTGGCAAGAGGAAAAAGAAACGAAAGGTAATTGTCACTCCTGTTCAATAAGCACCCTATGTGAGCACTATTAAAATATTGATTATTGGTTACTTTAGTGCAATGCCAACCGTGTAAGATGCACCAGGGTTGTTGTTTAATTTCTATTTACCAGTATGTCTGACTGGCTCTTCAAACTGTCTGCCTTTGACATTTGTCCTCAGGGCATTATATTCCTTATAATCATTGAGTGACGAATATAAAATATTTTTTGTTACAGCCATCTAGTGATGATGAATGCACAGAAGAAATCAAAATGGATAAAAAGGGAAAGAAAAAGTCTAGAGTCTTAGTTTCAGGTAAGATCAGAAGATTCACATCCAATGTTTCTGATTCTGGAGCAAAATTCTCCTCATTTCACACCTCATTTATTTTTAAGTATCCCTTTACAGAATAGAGGAGTAGGAAGTAAAACTCTATTTCTTTGTTTCAATTCACCTGTTTCTTGACTTCTCAAATAAGATTGTGTGAACTCCAGAGAGGTCTAGATGTAATAAGATTATGATGAATTATTATTTTTTCAGATTCAGAAGAGGAAGAAGAACCAGTTCGCAAGAAAAGTAAAAATAAAAGGAGAGAGGCAGTAGTATTTCTGGATGATTCAGGTATTTTTTAAAACAAAATTGAATGTGTTCATCACCCTTTTTGAACCGTAAAAGCAAAAAACCTAGAAATCTTGAATCTCCTTTACGTATAATTCTTACTGACAAACCACTTTCCAATATAAAGACAATCAGGCTAATCCATACAACTTTTTTCATGGCAGATGAGGATGACAAGAAACCCAAAATCCAAACTCTGGATCATTTTGTGATGGACACGCCCACTCCTAAGAAAAAAGAAGAAAAAAAGAAAGAGGTTAAGACAACTATCAGTGCTGATGATTTTTTCGGTGGTGGATCAGTTAAAAGAGTGGAAAGAACTCCTTCAACAAAAAGAAAATCTGTAGGTTTAATTTGAGTAATGTTCATTGTGCCACTTTTGACTGTCGAGTCTTGCAGACGACAACCAGCTTTGCCATTATAGTTTGTCTGCAATTAAAAAGAAACTACATGTGAGAATGTGAAGTCCATAGTTTTTTGATTGAAGACAAACCAGATGTCAAATTTTTAATCTATGACTCTACAATGCTTTTGTGTTGTTTGATTATGAATAGTTTTCAACAAGTTGTTCAAGAGTTCATGCCCTTGATCTATTGTATTACAGAGTCAGTTAGAAACTAGTATTAACAATGATGATTTAGAAATGCATGATGATGATGATTTTCTGAAGACATTACAACAATTGGACTCTCAGCAACTAAAGCGGGTAGGTAGTTATATTGAAAAACAGCATGACTTGTGGTCTTTCTCACCAACCAAAAGGAGTAGATAGTTCTATTTACTGTGGGATGTTATTACTATCAAAATCTTAGTGAACATTTTAAAAACAGCTTGACTTGTGGTCTTTCTCACCAACCAAAAGGAGTAGATAGTTCTATTTACTGTGGGATGTTATTACTATCAAAATCTTAGTGAACATTTTAAAAACAGCTTGACTTGTGGTCTTTCTCACCAACCAAAAGGAGTAGATAGTTCTATTTACTGTGGGATGTTATTACTATCAAAATCTTAGTGAACATTTTAAAAACAGCTTGACTTGTGGTCTTTCTCACCAACCAAAAGGAGTAGATAGTTATATTTACTGTGGGATGTTATTACTATCAAAATCTTAGTGAACATTTTAAAAACAACATGCTATGTGGTATACTCTTTGAAAGGCTTAAGTCACTATTTGGTTTTTTAATTATAGATAAAGTTGGATGAAGATGCTAAGAAGTCACTATCCAAAAATAATGGTAGGTCCATATTACCTGGAGAACTCTGACATTTGATATCCAAATGGCAATCCAGAAGACCAAACTCCAACAAATTCCATCCTAAATTTAAAACTTTCATTAGCAATTATATATTGAGTCCAAAATTATCATCAGAAGCCAGTTTTCTGTCAAATTTCCAGTTAAATCTTCTTTCTTTTCAGATAAATCCAGCCTAGCCAAGAAGTTGGCTGATAAAGCTAAAACATCAACCACTGCTGGTGAAGCTGAAGACAATGATAGCAACAATAATAACTCTAAAACTAACAAGGTAGGCAGCTTCTTCCTCCTTGAATGCAGAATAAAACCAGGTCTCATTGAGCTACAGGCAGTGCTCTTTCAACTGCAGCAAGATATTAAAAACATAGCTAATGCTTTCTATATTCACTCATTGCACAGAGCAGAACACTTTGTGTTCCTCAAAAAGCCGGCATTCTTCCATGCCATCTTTATTTTTGCAGACTTCCCCAGCCAAGTTGAAGAATCCCTCGCCTAAGAAAACACCAGTTAAAGTTGAAATGACACCCTCCAAAACACCTATGAAAACACCACCTAAAAAGGCTGAAACGCCCAAAACTGCAACTAAAACGGTAAGCTAGAACATTATGATTTTGGTAACACCTCATGCCATTTTGTGGCTTGCTTTTGTGTACTTGATATCCCTTTTTGAACTCAATTTAAAGAAAAACACCTCCAGATCAGCGAATGATAGTACTGTGAATTTTTGTTTCAGTCTCCTGGAGAAGGAGATACGCCTGGTATGCAGCGGAAAGGAAGCACAGGTTACCGTGGATACCTTAATAGGGAAGGACCAAAAGCTTTAGGATCCAAGGAGATACCAGAGGTTTGTAGATTTACTTCAAATTTCGCTCCTTGTAAATCTATATCTCATTCAATCATGCCTTCATTCATTCCTTTATGCCTTCATTCATGTCTTCATTGATTCATTCATGTCTTCATTGATTCATTCATGCCTTCATTGATTCCTTCATTCCTTTATGCCTTCATTCCTTTATGCCTTCATTGATTCGTCATGCCTTCATTTATTCCTTCATGCCTTCATTGATTTCTTCATGCCTTAATTCATGCCTTCATTGATTCTGTATTCTAGGGAGCAGAGAACTGTCTGGAAGGACTGACGTTTGTTCTAACTGGTGTGTATGAATCTATAGAGCGTGATGAAGCAAAGAGCCTGGTAGAGAAATATGGTGGTAAAGTCACTACATCCATTAGTAAGAAGACTAACTATATCGTAGTAGGACGGGATGCTGGAGAGAGCAAACTGAACAAGGTAATGGTACTATTCATTCTGGATCTACATGATCTCCCTGACCAGGTGGCTCCAAGAACAAGCTTTCATCAGGTGCAAGTGTGTGGCAACTCTGTGTATCTTTTGCAAAGTTCACATAGCCAGTTTTCTACTGTGTTTTGCAGGCCAACCAGTTTGGTACCAAGCAGTTGGATGAAGATGGGTTATTTGAGGTTATAAAAACACGACCTGGTAAAAAATCTAAATATACCATTCAAGCTGAGGAGGCAGCTAAAAAGGTGAGTTTTATTATATGTTTCAGTCATCTCTGCCGAAATATCTTCATTACTGAGTAAAGGTAAAGATTTATAATGTTTCTGCACTTTTTGTGAAATTTGCTTAGGTTTGTTCTATTACTTCTTCAGCCATTTTTTGCCCAAATATTTTGTTGTTGGCTTTTCCATTCTCATTCTTTTTCTTGGAATTTGCAGGAAAAATGGCTGGAAAAAAAGGCCTCAAGGTCATCACATAAAGAGGAACCTCAGACATCATCTAAGCCAAGCTCAAGCAGTTCAGACTTTTTGTCGAAACCTAGTTCTAGTGTAACAGACAATTCTATTGGACAATCAAAATCAGAGAGCCAATCAGAGCCCTCGTTACTTTGGGTGGACAAACATAAACCAACCAATATGAAGACTATCATTGGTCAGCAGGGAGACAAGAGTAATGCTAAGAAGCTTTTTAATTGGCTGAATTCTTGGCACAAGAGCAGAGCATCGGGCGCTAAGCCTGCAGGTAAGACTTAAGTCGTCTTTCCGTGGGCTTCCTCACTCAATCAAAATCTGACTGCATTTTTCTATAAATCATGTTCATATTGAATAACAAGTTTGGTGTTTTAGAGCTGTATTTTTATTCAATCGTACTCATGCTGATTTGATAATTTTAGGAAAATTCTTCAACAAGGCCAATGATGATGGTTCTGGATTTAAAGCAGCTCTGTTATCTGGCCCCCCTGGTGTTGGTAAGACAACCACAGCTACTCTCGTCTGTAAGGTGAGAACACTTGTCATTGATAATGGACATCTTCAGGGAGTGGCTCTTAAATTTTGTAACCATCATGATTCGTGAAGTTTCTTGGCCAAATTTACTTTCCTCTTTAATACAGAGACAAAATGCTTTGATTTTGACAAATGATAATGGGAAATTGAGAGGGCAATTGGTACGAGGGGTCATTGTTAATTTTTATTTTGCAGGAAGCCGGTTTTTCTTACGTGGAGTTGAATGCATCTGACACCAGATCTAAGAAGAGTTTACAAACAGAGGTGGCTGAATCATTAGATAATACGACTCTTGTGGATTTTATGGGTAAGACATGCTATCGTTTGGTCCTTCATCAGTTCATCCAGCTGTGCTGATAATTTGGGAAAGGTCATTACCAAGAGGTTCCACCCAGCTGGTATTGGTAGACAGTATCCTCGTGGTTCCATTGTACATAACTGTAAATAGGTACAGAAAATCAGGTATTGCCAAGGATCAGCTCAGTCTTTGAGAACCGAAGTCCTTATTGATGTACATTGATCTATTTTTAGGTACCAAAGCTAAGAAGCATCATACAGATGGTCAGAAACATTGTTTGATCATGGATGAAGTAGATGGTATGGCAGGCAATGCTGATAGAGGTGGCTTACAGGTAATATTTCATCCAATCTATCTTGATATTGTCACTGAGGATTTCATTGTTTAAATCAGGCATTACTCTGGGGCAGCCTGTAAATTTCCAGTCTAATTCAGTCAGTAGTACATGTATATTTTTTCCACATTAATTCAAATTGAATCTTCTTTGTTCCTACTAGTATTTCATTCAGTCAGTCATTCAGTCATTCAGTCATTCATTCATTCATTCATCCTTCCAGATATCTATACTCATTCTTATTTCATTCCTTGATTTCGACCTTTCCAGGAACTGGTGTCTCTAATAAAAGGGAGTAAAATACCAGTGCTTTGTATCTGTAATGATAGAAACAGTATGAAGATGAGAACACTCTCCAACTATTGTTTTGATCTCAGATTTTATAAACCAAGATTAGAGCAAATCAAGGTAAGACTTGTGTCTTCAGCCAGCCTGAAATTATTATAGGAGCCAAGAGCTTGCTCGCTAATCTAGAGGTCCTTGTTTCAATCCTGCATGAATCGAGATGATTCCTTTGAATATTCAACCCGCTTGCTCCTGTCAGAGAAATTGTACAGAGCTCTAAAATTACTTTTCAGGGTGCTATGATGTCTCTCGCCTTTAAAGAAGGTATAAAAATAACACCACCAGCCATGAACGAAATAATTTTGGCTGCCAATCAAGACATAAGACAGGTAAGGATGTGGGAATACAAGAACAAAAAATCATGGGCTGCTAGATAGCCTCATAGTTGACCAGGCCAGTATGTCAGCTGTTTGCAAGTCCAACAGCTTTGCTAGATGATTCAAAATAGAAATGATTGATAAAAACCAGGACCCTGTGTTCCATTTTGTTGTAGTATGATCCAAAGATTTTGAAAAGGGATCCAGGTGTCTGCAGAAAGAACTTTAATGCAATCTTTTGAATTTGTAGGTGATCCATAATTTATCAGTGTGGAGTGCCTGTGATAAAGGTGTCAGCTATGAACAAGCTAAGATAGATTCCAAAAGTGCCAAGAAAGATATGAAAATAGTAAGTAGACTTTGTTATGAACTACAAAAAGATTTGTGTCCAATGGGATAAATACAAGGATCTCACAGCTTTTATTCACACATTCACTTCAATGGGTAAGAATTCTCAAGGACCAGCTCATTAAACCTTCTTATCTCCCTTTGATTTCAGGGTCCGTTTGATGTCTGCCGGAAAGTTTTTGTATCTGATGAAGAAACAGCCAAGATGACCATTCATGATAAGTCTAATTTATTCTTCAACGACTACAGTATAGCGCCACTCTTCGTCCAAGAAAATTACCCCATGGTCATTCCTAATGCTGGGAGGTAGGTATATCCACAGAAACTACACTAATATGATTCAACCCCACAGCAAATGACAATCCTGCTGAGCTGATAAGCTGTCCTTCTTCCTATTTAAGAGAAATGTGGCTCTTCTTAAAAACTTCTTTAAACTGTGTACCTTTTTGTAAAAACTGGTATTTTGTCTGGTGTCTTCAGACCAGCAAAAATAAACTTAGCTTTTTACCTTACAGAGGGAACATGAAGGAGCACCTTCGACTGCTGGCAAAGACAGCTGACAGTATTTGTGATGGTGACCTGACTGATAGAATTATTCGTAAAGAAGGTGTTTGGGGATTACTTCCAATGCAGGTAAGTGGTTGAAGGTTGATGGAGGATGACTCTCAAAAACACTTATTTGTATTAGGATATCATTCTTAGTAGTAAATGTAGCAGTTCAGGATATTCAGATGAATTAACTGGTCAATGCTTTTGCTTTTTACCAGATCTTGTATTGATCCTTCCTACAGATTTGCAAATTTATGGATGACTAGGTTTGTCGGGAGCATCCTCTTTCAGAAAGTTCATATTTCTGATCATGGTTGTATGTTATTTCTATGTTACGTTTTTTTCAGGCTATGTATTCCAGTGTCATCCCTGGTGAGCTGATGAGAGGTGGTTTCCCTCAAATGGTGGCCTTCCCCAGTTGGCTTGGTAAAAATTCTTCTACTGGTAAAACTGATAGGCTACTAGCTGAACTTAGTATGCATATGAGACTCAAGTAAGTGGAATATATGTGGACCCTCCAAAAGGAGTACCAAGGTGACAAATTGGAGAAAATAATTTTGTATCGTGCCTCCTGACGACAACACCAAGTTGCTATTGCATATGATCCTTTGCATTTGATTTTGAGTCTATATAAAATTCAGAGATAACAGGTTCCTGCTTCCTGATATCCTGAGTTTGTCAGTTCTTGATCTATTTAACAGATGAGAGAATCTTGCTGATGTGAGAAAGTTTTAGCTCTCTATACTCAGCAGTCCATCTTCCTCAGATCTTGATACTGACAGTCACCATTATTGGTCCCTTAATGCAGAAATAGGGTGTAAAACTCCAATCCATTTCATTTTATTCTCCTTTATTTCAGTATCTCTGGAGACAAAAGAGCCTTAGCCATGGACTATCTGCCAGTGATGCGTAAAGCTCTGACTGAACCACTGGTCCAAGAAGGTGGAGAAGGAGTCCCCAAAGTCATCAAGCTGATGGACGATTATGACATTACTAAAGATGACTTTGATAATGTCCTGGAAGTATCTAAATGGCCGAACAGTTCTGATCCTCTCAGCAAACTGGACTCTAAGGTGAGATGATATTTTTGGGAAGATTAATGATTTTGGATGCAGAGGTCATGATAAATTGTGGTTGTTAAGGGAACAATTCCAAAGGGATTAATACCATAACCATATCAACAATATATTCAAAAATTCTTTGACATGTTCCTCTTGCATCTTCCAGACAAAGGCAGCATTTACTAGAACCTACAACAAGGAGTGTCATTTGACGCCCTATGCTACTGGTCAGACCACCAAAAAGAAGAGGGGTAAAGGGGGAGGAGCTAGTGAGGATGAAGGTGACCTGTTGAAGATGGAAGGCGAGGATGATGATGCTGCTACTGTTGATAGCGGGGATGAAGAAGGAGATGCTCTTGAAAATGATACCATGATTAAGGTCAGTTTGGTACAGCCAGAGAGTTGGAATAAGGGAAAGGGGGGTTGGGAATCTTTAGGGATTGATTTATAGGTATGCTCCCAATCTCAATGTGCACTAAGATAACTGTTCAAGGAATGTAACCATATTTTGAATTTTTCAGGCAAAGAAACCACCAGCTAAAGGGAAAACTACCAAGAAAGAACCAGCAGAGAAGAAGACTTCAGGGAAAGGAAAGGGGAAAGGCAAGGGGAAAAGTTGATTGAAAGAAAAGTCCCCTATAGATACCAATGTGTCTGTGCAATGTCGTTGAATAGTGCTCCAGGACAATCCAGAAATAATTAATCTGATTGTCTCATACATACCTTAAAGTACAGTATTTGCTCAAAGAATGCCTTCAGATATGAGATGAGCCGGGTAATTTAGCAAAATGTAGAGGGGAGTGGCTATCTTTGTATTGCATGTGATTGACATACTTAGTCCCACCTTCTGCATGTGTTTGCAGACTAATTAAAGGGTCAACAACTGTATCTCTAATCATGTGCTAATTAAGAACTGTACTTCACATCATTGTTCTATAATGCATCCACCATTTTGTTTATTTGTAAATAATTCCAGAATATGTTGTTTTTGTATATATTTATGAAGATTGTGCAAAATATTTGTAATAAAAAATTCCAAAAAGCAAACCGGGCTGCCAAGTCAAGGGTTTTTTTTCCTACTGTTATGCAGAATGATTATGAAAGACTTCAACCCCTTTCAAATTCTTCACGGAATATCCCCATCTCTGTCATGGCCGTCTCTAGACAAAAATATAGAAAGGAGATGTTCAAGGTTCGGGGGACAACTAACTAATTCAGACCACAATTAACCCATTTAGACCACAATTTACTAACCCAGAACACATAAATTCAAATGGTTCGAATCGAGTTCATAGGAACAATAGTATGGTCGAAGGGACGCGACAACATTTAACGACTACAGACAACAGTTAACTAAGTTATACCGCGGGATGATTTGAATTGATTAAAGAATCGTTTGATTAATTTTGGTGCATTTTGCCATTTTTGAGTGATAGCATACGAACTTCCGGTAAAGAGAATTAACCTTGGTCATTTTATTAACTTACTCTGGACTGAATTCCTTCCCTTTGACCATTATTTTACAAAGGGTCTTTCTTATAATGGACTATCCCAGAGTTGGACAGTTGTTATGACAGGTCGTAAGTGTGTATCGCGTTGGTCAAGTGGACAGCGTGATTTCTTTTGGAGAGGATTGTCTAGGGTTCGAGACTTCTGAATTTCCATTTTTTTTATTGATAATTTTGATTTTAAAAGTAACTTAACTTATACTTTGGCCGAGCGTTTCTCAGTTGGTAACGGTCCTTTCTGAATGTGTTTTCTCTTGGTCTCGAGGGATGCACGTTTTCTTTTCGTCTTATGGGTCCAGGGTTCGAGCCTCTTGAATTTCTTTTTAGTATTGATGAATTTAGTGGAAAAGTAGTCGTGAAATACAGTTTTGACCAATAAAAGAATTTGAATGGCGCAGAGAACTGTACTTAAAAAGTTTTCGAGAGTGGCCTGCCTTGGTCTAGTGGACATGGTGTTATCTTCTCGTCTGATGGGTCCAGGGTTCGATCCTTCTGAATTGCTTTTTGGTTTAAAATTACGAAATAAATGTTTTGAAACGGACTTTGTCAACTTTTAACTCTTTTGGTCATATTGTCTTGTTGGTATAGATAACACTGCTGATTCTTATCGTCTTATAGATCTAGGGTTCGGTCCCTCTGAATTTCTTTTCAATTTCGATGCATTAAATATGTTGAATTATTCTTAAATGTAGCTTTGTCCTACGGTTGGTCATTTTAAAGCATGCTATATGTCAATTCCATATTGGTCGAATGGGTTGGACGTTTTCTTTTCGTCTTGTCAGTCCAGGGTTCGATTCTTCTGAAAGTCTTTTTTTTTTATTTAAGTGTTACGGTAAAATTAGTCTTATACCCGGGCTAGTTCGTCGCTAAGGATAATTTAGGGAATGAAACGGTTTGGTCTAGTGGACACCGCGTATCCTTTTCGTCTTGTAGGACCAGGGTTCGAACCTCTTGAAATTCTTTTTTATATTAATAAATTTAATGATACAATAGTCTTTGAATATTGTTTGATCCAAATTGTGTCAACTGTTAATATCACTAAACATGAAAGGCGTAGAGGTGCAGTGGACTGGACGTTTTCTTTTCATCTTTTTTTTTTATTGATAATTTTTATTTTGAAAGTAACTTAACTTATACTTTGACTCAGAGTTTCTCAGTTGGTAACGCTCAATTCTGGATGTGTTTTCTCTTGGTCTCGAGGGATGCACGTTTTCTTTTCGTCTTATGGGCCCAGGGTTCGAGCCTCTTGACTTTCTTTTTAATATTGATGACCAATAAAAGCATTTGAACGGCGCAGTGAACAGTACGTAACAAGTTTTCGAGAGGGGCCTGCCTTGGTCTAGTGGACATGGTGTTATCTTCTAGTCTTATGAGTCCAGGGTTCGATCCTTCTGAATTGCTTTTTGGTTTAAAATTACGAAATAAATGTTTTGAAACGGACTTTGTCAACTTTTAACTCTTTTGGTCATAGTGTCTTGTTGGTATAGATGACACTGCTGATTCTTATTGTCTTATATATCTAGAGTTCGATCCCATGAATTTCGATGCATTAAATATGTTGAATTCCTCTTAAATGTAGCTTTGTCCTACGGTTTGTCAAATGTTAAAGCATGTTTAATGTCAATTCCATATTGGTCGAATGGGTTGGACGTTTTCTTTTCTTCTTGTCAGTCCAGGGTTCGATTCTTCTGAAATTCTTTTTTTATTTAAGTGTTACGGTAAAATAAATCTTAGATTACTTATACCCGGGCTAGTTCATCGCGAAGGATAATTTAGGGAATGAAACGGTTTGGTCTAGTGGACACCGCGTATCCTTTTCGTCTTGCAGGACCAGGGTTCGAACCTCTTGAAATTTTTTTTTATATTAATAAATTTAATGACACAATAGTCTTTGAATATTGTTTGGTCCAAATTGTGTCAACTGTTGATATCACTAAACATGAAAGGCGTAGAGGTGCAGTGGACTGGACGTTTTCTTTTCATCTTGTGGGACCAGGGTTCGATCCTCTCAAATTCTTTTGGGTTTTGTAGCAAGAAATAGTAAAATTTACTCACGTAACCTAAAGTCTCGGTAAATCAGTCGCTGGTCTGCTGAACACTTATGACGGTTTCTTTATATCAGTTTTCTTTGAAACTTAAACAAAATATTACAAAGAGAACAACGATAACAATCAAGGGAAGTAACTATATTTAATGATTTTTGTAACGCGGGATAATATGAACATATCATTTTTACAAATTTTCCCTTAGGATTTTTTTTTTTTATTTATGTGTGACATGTGCATTAGTATTTATTGTGTATGTTGAAGACTGTTGTATGCGCGGTATGAGAATTTTATATAAATACAATATGATTAATATTAAACTCTTACCTTCAATTTTTCTTCTTACCTTCTGGTCTTGAAACCGCATAGCTGGACGACGATGGCGGACGAACGCATTTATCGATTGAGCCAACGCACTTGACTGAATACTGCTTGGCGACTTTAAGATTATATGATTTGGTTTTTATACAGGAAGAGAGTAGAAAATTCGGACTGGTTGTTCCAAGAGACTGGACATCAGCGTCTCCTGGGGTTAGGTCAACTGGTGAACACTATGCACGTGCTTTTCTGCGGTATCTCAGTCGGTTAAATTGTTGATCTATTATGTCTATATTATGGTCGTGGGTTCGAATCCTGGTGTGAGAATGGAATTGGTGTGATCTTTAGAAGAACTTTACTTATAAAACAACATCCTCTTGAGGTCCATGACGCCAACCAACACAATACAAAATTAAAATTGGGTCGGCTATCGACAGTAAAAATCCCATTTTCCTTGGAGAGAGGGTCGGAATGAGATATATTGAATAGAGAGCATAATGAACTCAAATAAAGTCACACAAGCGTCCAGGATTGGGCCCTTCTTAAACATATTATTTGTGTGCAGTCGTGGTGGTCGAGTGGTCTAGATCACCTTAGATGGAGTGACTACGATTTGGGGGTCGAGGGTTCGATCCCAGTAATCTCTATAAAAATTTTATTGAATTTATAAGTATATATAGCCTTATTTCTCAGTTGTTATCAACCTCCGTGGTGGCCGAGTCGGTTAGAGGGTAGGAGTCCAACTCCAATGGAAAGGAAGTTGATTCAATCCCCACTAGAGGCCGGCTAGATTTTTCTTCTATTATGACAGGAGGTTACGGTTATGTTGGATAAATAATACAATTGAGCGTCAGACCGAATGGCTCAGTGGTAGAGCGTTGGTCTGGCGTCGACGAATAGCATGATCGATTCCCATGGTGGGCAACTCTACTAAGCTTCAAATTTTACACTATTTAAAACTTAAGGTTACAGTTATAATGGATAAAATTTCCGATTATTTGTTCGACTGGATGGCTCAGTGGTAGAGCGTCGGGAGAACACGGTTGAAATAAAGTCAGCCATAGAATGGACTAACATCCTCTAGAAACTTAGGTGGGTTCGAACCCCACGGGGAAATCTAGTTGTGAAAGATTTTCCATAGTGGGCACTCAAAACCACTAGAATTTGCTTTGGACGTCTAAAATACTTTAAAACCGAAAGTTGGGTTTGAGTGGGAATCGAACCCGGGTCGTTTGAACGATAGAAAAATGTAGGGAGGGATGAACAACTCTACGACCACAGCCAAAATAAGTGGGATTTAAACAGGTGTTCGTAAGTAATATTTAAAGTTCAAAGTCACAACCTACTATAGTAGTAAAATAGTAAATATCTTCCTCTCTCCTTTAGAATCTTGGAGGGTCCCGGGCACCAGTTTGCCCCTCTACTCCCCTCCTTGACTCTAGTTCTTCACTTTTGCCCCTCGTTCTTTCTATTGGTAGTGTATTGCCTGCGGCAGGCCCAACGTGTCAACTGACATCTTACCTCTAGAGAACTCAGGTCCCTCATATTAGAATGAGAGAGAGAGAGAACATGAGACAGTG